GTCAAGAACACACACACACACACACACACACACACACACACACACACACACACACACACACACACACACACACACACACTACTTCCCCCCAATACCACAGTTATTTAAAGTTCAGAACCCTTTTACACAACCAAATGAGAGGTCTGCAAAGCATTGCTGATTAAAACTATAAAAGGCACTCCAGGCAATCCTACTGAATAAACGGATTAGAGGTAAATGCGCAGATTTAATACTTTACTACTACTTTACTACTTTACTTTTAAAGCGCTTTAAACAACCTTGTAATGTATTCATCCATTGGAAGCGGATTTAACAGCCACAAAATCAGCCGATAGGTCAGTGCTTACATAAGAGTGACTGAAATGTGTTCAGATTTTCTTTTCTTTTTTTTTCTTTTTTTTTTTTTAGTCCTGCACGTAAACTTCAGCTGGAGAACGCATGCTTAAAGCCCGCTAGTGCCGGGAAGCCAGACACCAATTTCCAGTAAATCCTTGACCTTTTTCACTTTCCTTTTGACTGGTGGACAGTGAGTTATTCACACGGAATTCCCCCCTGCCTGGAAAACTATATAAGTCTCCCAACTTATGCCACTTGCGCTTGTGGGTCTGCGGAGAAGACGCGAGACGGATGCGCACGTCTCGGCTCACCGAAAAGTTTCGGATCTGCCACTCCGTGCTGCTAAACGTGGATTTTATTTTGTTCTTTTTATCTTTACTCTGGCGCTGAGATTAGTTTGAGACTTTCCGATCTGCGGGATGTTTACGTTGTGCGTCGCTACTTAAGAGATTTAAACCTTCTTGTGCGAAAAAGCCCCGCGCAGTAGCCTACGCTTTTACTCACCATTGGTCATTCTTCATTCATAGTCGCCGAGTGCTAAAGCTGGAAACGGACATGGCCAGGCGCGAAGTCATTGCGGCTCGTGTACAAAAAACTCGAGTGGCAATCCAACTGCACGCAACTGGGTCGGCGCTCTCGAGATTCCGCGCGCGGTTCAGGAATTATACTCGTTTCCCACGATCTCCATTACGCACCTCTCCGGGATCCCAGTGCGCATGTGACTCGACTTCCGTCCTCGCCAATAGTTGACTTTACTGCCACAAGAATAAGGTTCATCCTCCACGTTTGCTGAGGTCACGGTTTGTTTTGGAAACGATGGAGGCAAAACGCTTTGGTGAGCGCTCGCGTGCGTCATGTGATTGGCAGGTTCCCGTGGCTTCATCCAGCTGCTGCAGCGGTGCTGTCAAGGCTTCACGGGCGGGTGAAATGCTGCAGCATGCAGGTAAGGAACCTCCCTCTTTACAAGAGCCCTTATCGTTCCTTGAAGAATCCATTCATTCATTCATTCATTCATTCATTCATTCATTCATTCACTCTGTGATGTATGCAGGGTTTATCCTGGGCTGTGAGTCCAGTGCTCTAACCCCTGATGTCAGCACTACCCGCAAAGAATGCGTCCCGGTTTGAGAAAAACTACTGACTACTTCGGGAAATGCACCGTTTAAAAGTTGTTTTCCCACCTTTCTTTTCTGTTTTTTCTGTTTAAATCAACGTACCCTGTTCATTTGTCGTCTTTGTTTCAAGTCAATGAGAATTTGAAAGACAGAGGTAAGAGGAACAAAAAAAATCAAAATTCTTAACACATATGAAATAATAAATCTTAAATAAATGATAAGTCCAGTCTTATGCATGTATGAATAGACGACGAGTGCCTCTGACACGTCACATTAGCAGTTTTTTAGTAGGTTCCCTCTCCAAAAAGTAAATGTGGTAACAGCAGCGACCAATAAAGCCTCTGCTGCTGGTGTGGTTAGCACCATCGCCTCTCAGCAAGAGGGTTCTGGGTTCGAGTCCCCGGGGGAGCCAGGACCTTTCTGTGTGGAGTTTGCATGTTCTCCCTGTGTCTTCCTCCAAAAACCTGCATGTTATGTTGATTGGACATTCCAAAATGCCCTTAGGAGTGTGAGAGTGCCTGGTTGTTTGTTTGTCCTTGTGTGTCTCTGTGTGGCCCTGTGATGAACATGAATATAAAGTCCCAAATGCAGTCAAAGGACATTTCCCCCCCCTCTTTTGTGCTTTTGCTCAACAGAAGAGCTCACAGATAAAAAACAAAAACAAAACAGCAATCTGTTCACCTCAAACCATTTAGGCGTCCTTTGGAACATTATACGGCAATAATGGACGACACACAGATAATGATAACTCTAATGATGATAACTCTAAAGATCATTGCAGTAAAATGATAAATGACTGAACAGGCTCCACTGCACAGGGCTGGGCTGTGCATACAGGCTGTGGGACTCAACAGTAGGTGTCAATCCACAGTAAACTGACATATTGTGAAAAAAGATACAAGAGGTCTTGACTGACAGAATTCAAGTGCAGTATCTGTTCTTAAACTGTTATGAATAAGAGAATGATATATTGATGCTTTTAGGAAGTGACTTACAAAGCCAGGACTATGATATCATTAACAATTCTCACAGTTGAATTGTTGAAAATCATTTGGACTAAAGTCAGTGACTAATGAACCAGCAAACAGGTCTTGAATTCCTTTGAAGAACTTTTCATGCGTTCACCATGTTAAACATCCTGGTTAGATTGTTATGAGATTTGTGAAGTGAGCGATGGAAATTCCTGACCTTCGCTTTGTAACTATGTGGTGCAGAAGTATCGCTTGAATGCAGAAGAGATTTAAATGAAAAAAACACATTGGAACTTTTTTTTTTTTTATCAAATTGAAGTTCCCTGTCTAGACAGAAATGATTCAACAGGCAGTTTTCATCCACGTCAGCCCCTTTTTTCGGTTATCTTAACAGGTGTGTGGGGGCTCTCAGCAGGCCTGTAGCAAAGGTTTTGTGGCGAACTTTTCTTTCTCTCGGTTGTAGACTGACACTGACAAACAAAATCCTGTCACGTAACGTGTTTGTAACGCCGCATGATAACTCTGTGAATGAAGAGTTTAATTTTACAAATGCGGACAGATTAAAGTTTATCCCTGTAATCTGTCTCTTTTGAGATCTGTCTGTTCCCACTGATTCTGTAGGCTTTGTTCAAATTTGTTCAGCAAACGTGGTTGCAGCCTTTTTTTCTGGATGTTTGCATTAATTTTCCTTCCCGCACGCATGCGGAGAAGTCTTAGCAAGGCGAGGAATCCTGCAAAGGGGTTTCTCTCGGCTGCAACTGTTGCAGAAGCCACCTTCTGGATCTCCTTTCATCACATTTTCATTGCATTGAGTGTGTGTCTGTTTGTGTTTGTGTGTACGTGCGTGTGGGGCAGCAGTTATTAAAGACATCCATCACTTGTGTCTCATGGGATTCGGAATGTGACCATTGTAACCAAGACAGCGGCAGTCAAACACACAGACGATGTTCCCCAGCAAGATTTGTCTTGTTTCCTGGTGTGTTGTGATTCATTCTTGAAAAATGCATGGAGTGTATTTTGACACACTGTTTAACTTTAAAGCTATTTCGAATCCTCTCGTCGGGATTCGAACCCCGGTTTGGCTTCGTGTTTATTTTTTCCGAATTGTTCTGGTTTCGTGAAAGCAACAAGCACCTCGCCTTCTGCAAATGATCACAGATGTTGGTTGTGGCCACTGTCTTATTTCAAATGCATGGGCGTTCACCACGTGCAGGGGGGAATGTTGTCAAGAATGTGTGAATAGCGTCACGGTACGCGCTGAACCGCCTGCCTTTACAGACGTCCTCATCTAATGAGAGATGGAGGTACTCAGTGGGGGAAATAAAGTATCGCAAAATCCACCGTAAAAGAAAAAAACTTTTTAATGGAGATCTTTTCTGTGTATCGTTCTGCACATCATGTGGGTCAGTAACCTGTGCATTTTGCTTCTTATTTGTAGTAATTAACCAAAGAGCATCCTGCCAGCCTATTTCCATCATGCTACATTCTTACTGATTCATATCAGAAGCAAGTGCTGCAACTAAATGTTGATGGATTCAGTCCTTTTAGTTCATTAGCAAAGCTGGACACCCTTTAGAGATGGAACATTAAGGATAATTACAGCCCCACTTAAGTTTTAGGTTTCAAACTCAATCTCATCATTACCGTTCTTGTTGTGAATGCCATTACTATTCACATTATGCCTTTTCTTTCTAGTCTTTTCGGAACTTCAGCTTGATTTGAAATTAACAAGATTAGATTCTATCTGGACTTCAGACATGTTGCTGTTCATGTGATCATTATTTTTTCTTTGACTGTCATGGGGCGCCACACAGGAAGTAGTGTAATTTTTTCTCTGAAACGTATTAGTTAATTCCCAAAATGATCATTTACCATACAGAGCTCCAACTCTGTACGAAGGTTGATTTAACTGTAAGGATACTAAAACATTTGTTAGCTTTGTACACAAGAAAATCAACACGACATAGATCTAAGGATTAAAAATAAAAATGAAGAACAGAGAGCGTTTCTCTGCAAAAACAAAAATACTTTTCAACCACCCTGTAAAACAAATGTATAAATAGTTGTAATAGTGAACATTATCAGTACAATTACCAATACAAATGACTCTAGCTTTAATATAATGATAGCTTGAGACGTTATGGGGGTGGTAAGATCTGTCTGGGTGCCCAGATTTTTTTTTTTAATGAAGACAGGTTATGACATATGTGTCACAGAGACTTAAGGGTGTGACTTTCCTGGAATTCATTGTTGCTTAATATTGTAAAGTGAAAATGACATTGCTAAGACCATTTCCCACAAACTGTGTTGAAATGCGTTTCATGAATGGCAATGTTTTGGAACGTCCTTGCAAAATAACACTATCTCCAATCTCAGCTCCGTGTCCTATTACAGCACAGAGTCTGTGAAACATACAATGTTTCCAAAGTGTCGAGCCAGAATAGATAACTCATACCATTATATAAACTTGTGGTATACAGACAGACAGACACAGATAAGTGCAGGTGCATGATTAAACTCAAAGTCACACACTTATTAGACACTGATCAAAACAATAAAGTGCAATTTACCTAATTTTAGGTAATTTAGAGAGGCTGTTCATGCAGCCCCATGATTTTTCTTCCTCATATCATATTGCATACCATGCTTGAAACATTAATAAAACCACATGAGTGATAATTGAAATAAAAAGGTGTATCAGAGGATTCTACAGAACATCATACCCACAGTTTGGGGAATTTTGAATAATTTTCAGACATCTTTTTTTTTTTTTGTGTTTGCAATCTTAAGAAGTCCATCAATTCTGCAAGAATATTTTCAACAGGTGACTGCCCCATACCTTTCCTTTGCACTGTTTGGCTGTTTTGTTGTTTAACGTCTTTGCCACATCTTATTGGAATACCCTGCCTGATAATCTTAAAAGCTGTAAATCTTTCAGCACCTTTATGCACAAACAATGCAAAATCCATTTAACGACAGCCTGTGAGTACTAAAAAACTTTTGATTTTATGTCTGTTTTAAACTAAAGAACATGGTTGTGTTCATGTTTTCAAGTTTGTTATATATTATTGGATTTTTTATTAAACCTGCCAAGATGCTGCACTTTTAAATTTGCTTAAAGCTAACTCAGAGAAGATGAATTGAATGTAAATATATATATGTTTATTACTGTTGATGGCCTTTGGCAAGTAATACTCTAATAAAAATAACACTGCATAACCACTTCTTTGCTTTGTTTTATTTTTCAGTCTGTACATTCTGCATTACCATCAACACATAACTGTGCACAATTAAATATATTCTGATACTAAAATGATGATATTAATGATATTTTAGAAGTTATGCCAATTATAAATGAACTGTATTTATTTAGCACTTTCCTGGTCTAACTTATATGTTTCTCCAACGTGTCCCATTAGTTTATTTACACATGCACCTAGATGGTATGTTTCAGTCTTTTTTATTTTTTTCAGGCAGCACAGTGTTGTCTTCTCTATCAGGACGTAAATGCAACCTAAAATAAAAAGAACCAAACAGAATGCAGGTAACGTACCACAAATCCTCTCATTAACAAAAACTAGAGACCAACGGTCCCTTTACTGCTTCTTTGGAAATAATTAAAGTTAGAAGAGGCTTTAGTATCTGACCCTTAGCACTTGTGAGAAAAACAGAAATCTCAGCGGGTTGTTGGACCATTTAGGTTTGAACACCATAAAAACCAGCAATGAAAAAGAACCTTAGCTAAAAATCACTGGGAGGGATTACTGTGCCAATATTTTTAAAGAATTTAAATCCAATTATTCTACAGCAAGAAGATTACAAGTGAAAAGTATTAAATTGTCTTATCTACCCAGGAATGAAGACAGATTGTGCATTGGCCAGAGAATTGTTTTTACAAAAAAATCAACAACTCTGAGACTCAACAGACTCTGGTTAACGTAACAAATAAGAGTACACTTGGAACAAGACTAAACAAGTATGGCTCTGCTAAAGATGTTGCCGTGTTATATTAAAGATTTTAGCAGAGGTTAGGTTTCTAAAAATACAAATATCAGGACTTCTCGAAAAATGTCTTCGGATAGATAATAATTTCCTACCAATCATCAATCATGGTGATGGAGACATATTGTTCTGTTTTTTTTAAAGCAGCCTTTTAATCTGGTTAAATTCTGGACTCCTAGCGTTTAAAGAATCTACTTTGGTTCACTCTGTATTCAAATCTGATCGGTAAATCTTGTTTAGAAGGCTGTAGAAACCACAAAAGAATGGCTGAAAAAGAAAGATAGATTTAAAGTACTACAGCAGTCCTGTCATAGTCCATAATTTAACCTCCCTAAAATGCTGTAGTTGCAGCTTCATTGTTCATTATCAATGCATGCAAATCTA